TACTTTTCTCTGTTTTATAAAGTACCCAGTCGTATGTATTCTGTTACAGCAGCACAAATGGACTAAGACAATCTGTCTTCAGCTTTAGGACATTTGCTTCTGTTAATTATCTGTCCACTTCACCTTTTCTATTTTTTCTGTTCCTTCCTTGGAGCTCCTATTAAGAGGATTTTGGAGCTTCTGGATTCATTCTCCGTAAATGTTAAGTTTTACCGCTGCTTTGCTCTGTGCTTTCCCCTCATGCATTCTTGGAGAATTTTCTGGTTTAACTTTTCAGCCCATTAGTTGTTAAGCTGTATCTAATCTATTTAGCTAACCTCTTGGGTTTTGATGATCATTATTTTTAATTTTCATGATCCATAATTACATCTGAATCTTAAAATCCGTTTTTATAGATATGTCTTCCTTTCTTATTCCTCCTTTTACACAAGGCCTCCATGAATACATCCAGGTTCTATTGTGAATACTGTCATTATGTTTAAAAAAACGAACGAACTGGAGTCCCTTATTGGGATCAGCACCACCCAGGTCTTACTTTTTAGGGGTCTAATTTCAGCAGAATAAGATGTGTTTTTTTTGGCTTTCTTCTTTGCAAGGTGCTATTGGGATCTTGGCTCCCAGCTCTGCCTCATAGGCTTAATTTTACCAAATGTACAGAAATTAGTTTTCAAGGTTGTCATACTTAAATCCCTCAAATGGTGAATTAATTCCACAAGTGGTGACTAGTTATTAGTTATTAGATATGAACCTCCTTTGGCCAAGGCCCTGAACCAGCGAAAGCTTTACCAGACAATGGGCAGCTGTGGCGGAGCTGCGCCTGCTCACCTGCAGGCTTAAACCCCACAGCTGCAGAAGAACAAAAACGCCAAAATGAGAAAACACCTGACTGCAAGATCCCTACAAAGGCAGGGAGAAACTTTTAGCTGTGAAGAGGGGAAATTAAAAGAGAACATCTTTTGTCCAGAACTACATGTAACAAGTCTGTGTGACTTTAGTGAGTCTAGATTTATCCAATCCTGAAATACTAAAAAAATCACTTGAAATTGAAAAAAAACTTTTTTCCTTATAGGACAATTCAATAGAGAAATTACTCTGTGTAACAACATTAAACATCATCCCAAAGGAACAGCTGTTCTCTGTTCCAAAGAATTTGAAGTACATTGATAGATGGACATTCCATTAAGGTTAATAGGGAAATGTAAGCACATGTTTCTTTTAAAGAGAAAGAGAATGGCTTTGAGGAAAAGAGTTTTACCCTCGGACTCTTCCCCTCCACTGATCCCATGGGTTTACTTGGCTTCTTAGGAAAGCCACAAAATGTTGCTTTTTATAGAAGCTGACACACAGGACACCAAAACGACAAGCCAGGATGAGGACAGAGGCACCAGTTTTGGGAAGTACAAAAGTTAATTTTTCTGGCAGAGTCATTTCTAGTGTTAGAAGCATGTGTGGTGTCACCTGGGTTTCCATGAGAAGTAAAACTGTTAGGGCTCAATGGGCTAGAGAGTAAATACAAATTCAATTTATTTTCCTTTCCAGCTTTTTGTCTATCACCAGGCTCCTATAAGTTGAAGGAGTCCGATTTGGAAAAGTATTCTCTAGGAAGAAGGTGTTTATTGAAAGCTATGATCCCACCACATACAATCGGGTCTCAAACGCTGTGGAGTCTGCCTCCTGGATATGTTTCATATATTTCCAACCCATGTTCTCTTTGTCATTACTGCCCCTACCCTACATCCATCATAATCTTGTTTAGCCCAACACAATACCCTCTTAATTGATCATCTCACTTCTCTTGATTTCCTTCAGCTCATTCTACACACAGATGTAGCCCAGACGGACCCTTTAAAAATACAAATCTAACGATGCCATTCTCCTGTTTACTGAAGGCTTCCTGTCCACTGAGGGCTTCTTACCACTTTAGGATAATTTCAGAGTCTGTAACAAATCCTCCAAGATCTCTGATCTTCAGTATTATTAAATGTCTCTTCCCCGTTCACTCACCAGTGGATCTTCAGTTCTTCACAAGTATAAAGCTCTTTCCTGCCCGAGGGCTTTTGTAAGTGCTATTTCCTTGGTCTCATATGCTTTCCCTTATGATTTCTGTCTCATTACTTTCTTATTCTAAATAGCCCAACATATATATCACTTCTTTAGAGAAGCCTAACCTGATAGCTCTGTCTTCCCTGTCTAAATCAGGAGTCCCTTAAAAACATTTAATTGTATATTAAATATTTTATGCGTGTTCTCCTTTTCTTCCACACAACTCTAAGCTTTGTAAGGGTAAGAAATAGGTCTGTTTATTTTGTTGTGTACCTCCAGTTCTTCACATGATCTTATCCTATAATAGATGCTCATTAAGTACTTATTGAATAAATGAATGCATGTATCAATCCTGGAACAATCTGAATCTGGAATGAGGATGTGAGCAAGAGATTTGATATTTATTACAAAATCCCTGTAGCAGTATAGGGGATGATAGTAGATGACATACTAGTTCTAGTACCTATCTTGAACTCAACAGAGTGGGAGTAGTATAATGACCATAATATAACCTACTCCTTAAAACAAACTTGGGCAAGCTGGTATTTGATGTGTTTATCTCTAAGATATTGAACACTTTTGAGGGGTTCTGGCAGTTGGATGTAATAAGGAGTCTAATCAGTTTTTTGAAACAAAAATGCCCCTTACGGTTCTTTCACTCTTTACATTATCCCAGTGATCCCTATTGTCTTGCATTGTGAGGATAGAATTTAGTCTGCCTGCATTCTCTGATTCAGTACAGAATACACAGCCTTTCCTGAAGGGCTATATATTCAGCTACGCATAGCCCATCTGTCGATCACAGCCTGATAGGGAGAGCTTTAGAACTTACCAAGAGAGGCACCCACATGTTTAGCTGTAAGTGCAATTTCCTCACCCTTGTTAGTCCTGCATCTAAAGGTATTCATCTCTCAGCTATCTTCAGGTTCCACTAACGTCCTCTTGATTACCAAATGAGTCACAGTCTCCCTTCAGCCAAAGCAGGAAGAAATCTGGCATCTATTCATGTGTGACAGAAATGTTAACTAAGTGATTTTGCTCTGTGCCAGGTCATGTTTTTGGCACGGAATAAAAGAAAAAATGAAAGACGTCATAGATAAACATGGGGGCTAACAGCCTCGTGAGGTGGCTTATGTCGGTACACCTGGCTAGACTTTTGTTTCTATTTCCTCCCCAGCTTCCCTCTTCTAGTGAGTCAGACTTCCTCACGCACCTGTGGGCTTTCCTTGAAAAGAGAAAAGTTTACTACAGAATTCATTCTCTGAGGCTACGGTCACCACTTGTCCTATTTGGACAGAGGGCTTTGTCCTTGGCAGAAGACACACATGGAGGAGTCTCTAGCCTGAAGAATTTCAAAGGACAAACTTGAGAGATCAGTGTGAGGCCTGTGAAGTATCTTGGGGCTACAGAGAAAGCAACGCAAAAGTTGCCATGCCATAGTAAGGAGTCAGACTGGCTTAGGGATTCCAGGGGTGTGAGTCCTGAGATGCCCCTTAGCTCCAAGTACACAAGGGTGGTGTCTTGGCATGGCTCAGTCATGCATCAACATCTACCAAGTCCAAGGCCAGGAAAATGGAGTTTGTGGCCAAAGCTCCTAGAATACTACAGATAGGTCCCTTTAAAATCAAAACTAGAGGCTGGGTGTGGTGGCTCAGGCCTGTAATCCCAGCACTTTGGGAGGCTGAGGCGGGCTGATCACGAGGTCAGGAGTTCAAGACTAGCCTGGCCAATATAGTGAAACCCCGTCTCTACTAAAATCACAAACATTAGCTGGGTATGGTGGTACATGCCTGTAGTCCCAGCTACTCGGGAGGCTGAGGCAGAATTGCTTGAACCCGGGAGGTGGAGGTTGCAGTGAGCTGAGATCATGCCGCTGCATATCTGCCTGGGAAACAGAGCAAGACTCTGTCTCAAGAAAACCCAAAAAACAACATTGTAAAAAAAAAATCAAAACTAGAAAGAAGAGTAGAAAGATAACATGACTCACTCTGCCAACTTATGTTCTTAAAATGCTAGCTGGTAGCCAGATCCACTGTGACAAGAAATGGGTAATGTAAAAGTAATTTAGACTGCCAGCATTTTTCCAGCGTGTCTTATGAGCAATCAAATAAAACGAATCCTCATTGCTTCTTTTTTAAAAATCCTAAAATATGTTTAGAAAAAAAAGTCATTCTGAAATTGCCTGACATTACATGTAGGTAGCTTATACAGGATTGGAGAGCTTGGAGCCTACAAATGATGCCTTCTCACTATTTCCTTTTCTTCCAGTAGTATCCCTTAAGCCAGATAAGTAGGTATATTACACTGAAAACCCATGAAAAGATGTGGGCTTGGTTCAAAGGCATATCTTGAAGTGCAGAAAATGAAATCTTGAGTCGGGCAGATCTGGGTGTTAATATCACTGCTGACATGTAGAGTACTACTTTGTCTCTGTCACAACCTCACTGGGCTCACTTTTGAGAACAGACAGATTAAGTTTGTCAGGCTTCACAGCTCAGCACCTGGGACGAATAGAGCCTTAAATATTCTTTGTTCCTTGTCCCCTTCCCAACTGTGGTCAGATATCACCCAGAAGATGTCTGCGACCATTGTGTGTGTGTAGCTAAGCTTAGGCCAGAATGAGATGGGGGATTATGAAAAATGTTAGCAGAGGTAACTTTTGTTACTAAAAACTATTGTCTAACTTTTTATTGACAACTCAGAAGTATCTGTGGGTAGCCTCAAGGTAGAGGAGCATGCTAGGGATCCAGAATGTTTGAGTAGCTTAATAATTTAAAGAATTTTATTTGCCTAAAAGCTCACACACACATGTGGAATTATCTCTGTCATGCCCCCATTAGAATTTATTTCAGCAGACATGGAACTGAAAAGTGTAAACACTTGAGTTCACTTCATCAAGGCTTTTCAAATACCTTTGTCCAGTGGATGAAGGTTAAAACAAAAGACATGAGCCAGAATACATTTTGTGATAACGTTTTCTTCTCTTTAGAAAAAAAAAATATGTACAAAAAAAGCTAAGAAGAGCCAATATGGAAGTGTCAAGAAAACATTCTGATAGGTACAGACAAGAGCTCCCTCTCTCAAAGGAGTTACATATTAGTTACCACCATGCTAGAAAAATGAGATGCAGTTAAAATTCTAGAATAATTAAAAGCCACAAAGTGAAGCTGTTGTTTTGGGGCCCTATGTTGTAGATTCTCTGATTCCCTTTCTGTCAAATAACACTGTGCAAACTGTAAAATACTCATTTTCATATAAAGTCCATACAATATGATATACAAAACTGTTGAGTTGACAGGGAAGGCTGATGTCGGCTGCTTTTTGGAAAAAAGGTGGCAGTGACACCTGCCTGCCAAAGGACATTCCAGAAAGATCTTGAGTTTTTTAGTAGAGGCCATTATCTAGGAAAGAATCATACAACTCCAAATACCCTCCAAATCCAGGATTCTCACAATTTTTTGTGTAACTGGTGACTTTGTTAATATATTACTTTACACGGTGAATGAAACAACTTGTTAAAAGATCAGAATGCAACATTCTTTTTAAAAACAATTTTTTTTCTACAATTGACTTTAAGATTTGTTACTAACCAACATTGCCCTTCCTGTAGCTCAAAAGTTGGCCTTTCATTAAAATTCAAAAATTCTGAAGGAGGCAGAAACTATAGTAATAAAAGTTTAAAGTGAGCTGTTATATTTACTTCTGTGTTTATAAAACTGAGAAAAGAAGATTTGTGTACAAATATCACAAAACAACATCAACCATTGAATAAATGTGGTTCTTCGATGCACGCTTGAACAAGAAAATTTTGTTGGTTTTAAAATTCTGGCATAAATATATTAAAGCTGAGCAAAAAAAAAAAAAAAAAAAATCAGGGCAAGCTACATCACTTCCTCATACAAAAAAATGTACAAAACATTAGCTTCTAACTAGATAAACGTAATATTTGTCATCACAGGCTGACATTGAGCAACTGTGTTTTGAAGTATAGAATTGGAAGGTGATTTTAAAAAATGGTTGTGCCACATCAGTCATCTCAGGTAACTTCGGTCATGGAGGCAGAGTGATTCTGTGGAGCAAACACAAGCAGATACAATCTGAGATTGGGTTGCGTGACACTTGTACACTCACTTGTCTCTAAACGGTCCGTTGTTCTGTCTCCTCAGGTGTGCACAGGCTGTTCCCTCCCCTTAATATGCTCTTCCAAGGTTCCTCAAATTCTTACCTCCTTTATTAAAACTGCCCTGATTTTTCATCCAAAATAGGATAATTTCTTCACCGTTTTGTTTTGTTTTGTTTTTGTTTTTTTTGAGACAGGGTCACTCTGTCACCCAGGCTGGAGTGCAGCCTTGACCTGCTGGGCTCGAGTGATCCTCCTTTCTCAGCCTGCCTCCTGAGTAGCAAGG